ATCTATAATGATCTTCGTGTCCAGGATCTCTCTTACGCCAATCTTTATCTTCGTGATGCCCATTTTCATATCTATAAGGATCTTCGTGTCCAGGAACTCTCTTACGCCAATCTTTATCTTCGTGATGCCCATTTTCATATCTATAATGACCTTCGTGTCCAGGATCTCTCTTCCACCAATCTTCATCTTCGCGATGCCCATGTCCTTCATGCCCAGGTTCACGCTTATCTTCATGTACTGAATATATCAAATAAACCATAAGTAGTATATCAATAACTAAATCATTCAGGCAAATCATCAAAAATGATAAAATATGTATTACCTATTTCATTATCGTTTTCTAAAATATAAAATATTAAAAATAATTGAGTTATTAAATTTATGTGATCATAATGAATATAATAAAATAGTATTAAATAAAAAAATCAATACCTATTGGGGTTGGAACTGCCAATACGCTAGCAGCGAGAAAGATCGAAAACAAGGTAGTAAAGTTGAATTTCATGATTAAAAAAATGAATTTATTAAAAAAATTTTAAAAATTATTGAAATTTATATTTGATAAATAATAATAATAATAATAATAATAATTTGAATTAATCGATAAATTTTTTAAATTGAACATAAACGAAACAGTTAATTATTAATAACTGAAATAATTCGTATCGAACTGAAGAGGTTCAGAAGGCTGTTTATATAAAAGAATTTTAGATTATGAATCGATATAAATATTTATTTTATTCATCAAAATCAATCTATTCCGTTTTTTTTCTCTAATTGACAAAGAACTTTAAACAGATTAATATAACCTAATACAGTCAGATCTTGATATAATTACCAGGTCAGAAAACAAAAAGCGACTATAATGTGTCTGACTGTAATAACATTATAACATTACTAATTTTGAACCAAAGACGCGTCTATAGTATTTATTAAAAGGGTCAATTTTGAATAAATCATAAAAATCATCAGATGGTAACATATACAATTTTTTTTACTTTAAGTTCGTTTTGTGAACCCTTTTATTACATAATTAACTTATGTCATTTATAGTAAGCTTTTTTTTTTATTTAATATATGTCTATCCAAAAAAATCAAATAAAAATTTTTTTGAATAATTGTCCTTTTAATAATACGAGGTTCCCCATATGGAAATAGTATTATATATAAATTTTCACATGATTTGTATAGAGATTTTTTCTAAAAATAATCTCGAAAGTTATTGTCAGATCTACGATGACTACAATGGCGGGATATTATTTGATGCAAGTATATGTGTATGCAGTATTAGAAATCACAAGATTTAATACGTATGTACCCGCACATACTTTTAAGTTTCTATAGCTAACCTTAAACGTTATATGAAATAAATTAACCAAAAAATTTCTAGCAAAAATAGGTTTAATTTATTTAATTATGGAATTTTAGTATGAAATAATACAAATCCTAAAGCGCGATTTATTAGACCTCAATCTACTTCAATCTTTGGCGTGTATAATTGTCTTCGCACGTACGTATTAGTGGCATGATTCTGCAAGACTATTTCTATAACACATTTGATCATATAAGTTATATTCGGTACAGTGCATAATATTAATATACACATAAATGACAAGAAAAAAAAAATTTATTAATTCACTAAATACAAAGTAATGTTATGCCTTTACTATGTACTGCGATAATTAATATCACTTTATAGCTGTTGTTGTAAATTCTGGATAAGGATGGCAAAAGTTTTTTATTACGTAATTAAAAACAGGTGATGATTTTGGCCCTAAATATATTAAAGACCAGATTTGACAATTCGGACTTTAATCATCACCTGTTGAAAAAATGGTTAAAACTGTTTTTTTACCATCCCTAATTCTGGAGCAACGAAAAATTGCCTATAACTAATATATAAGTTTCTGATTCAATTTTACAACCTAAGTTCTCATAAATTTTTGGGATAAATAAAAAGTTACCAAGACCAAGATCGAATTGAGAAACTTCTAGCTTCGGACTACATTGGATAAATGATTAATTACAACCCCGTAATTTGATCAGTTTTCCAGAATTAATTAATTTTAGTCCAAATATATTGTGTAACACGACCGCTTTTCGGAAAATTTTTTGTTTGTTTTCTTATGTTACCAATCAATTCATCGACAGTTATTTCACAACAAATTGTTTAACCAACATCACTTATGGTGACAATTTTACATATTTTACAGTATTATAAGTTGTAAATTGTAAATTTCAAGCTATATGATGATTAAACGCTTATCGATAAGATGATTGTCGGTGAAATAACACGAATCCGTTTTCAAAATGTATCTTTACATAAGCTACAGGAAATGTCACATAAGGTAAGAAAAAAATTATTTTTAGATTCTAAAAATATTTGAAATTTTTTTGTATTTGGGCGAAACAACGTCCATAGATATTACTTTGAGATACGCAATTTAAAAAGAGTTTATAATTTAAAATAATCTTTTTTTTTAAAAAAAAAAATTTTTATTGCACGAGTCTAGTTAACTTAATTATTAGCTATCTATAAAATTAAATGTACTATATTGAATGTCTCAAAATGATGCCCCAGGGTGTTATTTCACCAAAGTCAGTATTAATATTATCTGCATAAATATCCATATATGTATTAATTATATTTATGGTTAGAATAGATGCATGTAGTTACGCCTTCACCGACTAGTTATTTAGCCAATATTATGCAATAAACAATTTGATAATAATATACTTATAACTAATTCCATGCTATTGGGTGATTGTTGAAGTGAGCAGTTGCATGCTTAAAAGCGTTTTGATAACTTGGCGTCATTTTCTTGATTATTATACGTTGTAATCGTAAAACGGCGAGTCAGTCGCTAATCGGTCGGGTTCCTCGTGTAACCACTTATGAAGGTTAATTCC